TGCTGGGAGACTGCCTGTCTGGAGAGGCTGTGGGGGCCCTCCCCACACCCGCTCTTCCCCGCATCTTCTCCTTTAGGCTGCCCCTGCATTGTATCCTTTATAATAAACCAGCAAATGTAAGGAAAGTGTTTCCCGAATTTACTGATCCAGCAAGTAACTGAAACTGAAGGGGGGTTAAGGGGCCCCCTCCCAGATTTGGTGACCAAGTCAGACAGACATGTGGGTACTTGGATGCAATCCATGCACCCCTCTCAGGTGAGGTAAGCTCATGCGACGGAAGCCTTAAACCTGGGGAGTCAACACTAACTCCAGTAGTTAGTGTTAGAGGTGCACTGAATTATAAGAAAGAGGAAAATTCTAGAATGACCTAAACCTAGTTACAAGTTAGAGAATGGTGGGGCTTAGATCAGAGGAGAGATGATGCAAAGCTATTCAGCTAACAGCTTTGACCAAACCAATAAATAAATAAATAAAAATAAAACATTTACTCCACATTTTAAAATGGGTGTTGAAATCATGACTTAAAACCCCAGGAAGATGACCATCATGGTGCCGCCATGTTCTGCCCACAACCCACCGTGTGAGAAGCAGCAAGTACTCTGTGCAGACTGCCCTCCTATCTAAAGCATTCATGGTTTGTGTTACCACCCTTCCAGTCTATAGCCAGGGAGGGTTAAGATGCCTGCCTTCCCAAAGCTTATGAGAAGGTGCTGCTGGCACTGATCTGGCAGCTATCTTCCACATCCCACCCAGCCCTGCTGGTGGTGGTTATGGAAATTTGTCCCAGCACCTGGTCTTTTCTTTTGCTGGCTTGGATCTGTAATGGCTCAAGACACCTTTCTTATTTCAGAGATTCCTTAGTCTCTAGCGTTTGGGTTCAGTGTGAGAAAACCCCAGGCTTTCTTCCGGTGCTTTGGTGATCTCTGAGTGTTTATGCCTGGAGCTTCCTGTGGTCTGAGGTCCACATCTCCATGCCTTGATGTGTCCTGAGTCAACTGACTTGCCCTAGTCTCCTGCCTACTGTTTCTTGTGTTGCCCTACTTCAGTAGCTATACTCAAGGGCCAGGATGTCCAGGAACTCTAGAGAGAAGGTGTGCTTCCCATTCTGCTTCAAGCCCTTTGTCTCCACTTAATTGCAGCTTTCATGATTTTTTCTAGTACTGGTGACTGAACCGAGGTTATTTTGAGACAGAGCTCGCTAAATCACTAAGTTGCTCAGTCTGGGCTTGAACTTATGCTCTTCCTGCCTCAGTGTTCCAGCTGCTAGGATTATAGCACCTTTTACAGTTGACAGTGACAAGCTGTCACACTTGACAGTGATCAAACCCAGAGTTGGAAAGGCTTAGAGAGCCTCCAGGGCTGGGGCATGAGGCCTGCTGTCTGATTTTGTTTAACTCATAAGCTAAGAATGGCTATTATGTTTTTAAATGACTGAGGAAAAAACTCAAGTGAAGAATATTATTTCATGATAAAGAAAACTTCTGTATCTAGAAGTAGAATGATGTGTGTATGTGTGTGTGCAGACATGTGGATGTCTGGGGATGGAACCCAGGGCCTTGTGCCTGCTAAGCACGTGCTCTCTCACTGAGCTACACTCCCCGCCCTCAAATTTCATTATTTTATGGAGGGCTGAATTCTGACTTCACAGAGCTCTGGGCCCTTTTGTCTTTCTGTTTCTTTCCTCTGTAAGAATCAATCAATTAATCAAACAATCATACTTTATGACTATGTTGGCATTAAGAGAAATATAATCCAGGAAGACTGTGTCCTTATGTATTCATTATTGTTGTATCTTCTTTTCTGTTTTGAAAGAAAATTAAAAATCAAATATTTTCACAGGTCCTAAAAATTAGTGAGGCCCTTCGGCATTGCCAAATGGATAGGTGGACCTGCTTTTCCCTGTGATGTGTGACTGCCCCTGAGTCACAAAGACAGAGTGGAGCAGATGAAATAGAGACCACGTGGCCTGCAAAACCTAAAAAGTTTACTACGTGGCCCTTTGTAGCAAAGTTTGCCAACTCCTGGTCTGGTGTTTTACAAAGGGGGCAGGTGGGAACCCTCAAGACAAAGTGACTTAACTAATGACACACAGGTATCCATGGAGCATCTGGGACAGGGCCCACATCACGTCAGCCCCCTCTTGCGTGCCCGTGGCTCCACACAGCATGGTACAGTTATCATCAGCTCAAGAGGTGCTTCCTCAAGAAGCCCTCCCTGACCTCCCCTGTCCGTGTTATATTATCTTCAACAATGGGACTCCTTTTCTATGGAGCAGTTGTTTGTTTACATACATGCATTTGCGAAATAAATGTGCAATTCCTCACCACGTCTGCTAGCTCCCTGAGAGCAGGAACCACATGAATCCACTCCTGCATGGCATCTGGCACACATCCCTGTACAGGGTGGGTAGGTGAATGCTCCTTATGACCCGTCTCCCAGATGTCCTCTGTCCCCATACTCTCCACTCTATCTCTGCCATGCACTCTTTCTTCTGACCCCTTCTTGGAGAGCGTCTTAGCTTGAGCTGCATGTAAAAATGCCATAGACATTTCTTTCTCACAGTTCTGGAGGCAGAAATGCAAGGTGGAAGTGGCTGTAGAATTGGTTTGTGATCAGGGCACTGTTGCTGGCTCACAGACAGTGTCTTCTGGCCATATGTTTACACAGTAGGAAGAGGACACTTTGATGTTTTTCTCTTCTTAGCACCAATCCAATCGTGGGGTTCTACCCTTGCGACTTCATCTAAAACTAATTATGCTCAAAAGGCCCCATGTCCTAATACCATCAGATTGAAGTTTAAGGTTTTAATAACCAAACAAGGTGGGGAGCACAGATATTCAAGCCATATCAGGGAGCTCCTGTGTACCCATCAAGGTCTGATTATACTATCACCCCTTAGGTGCCCCCTGAGCTGATAGTTGTTCAACTTTTGAATTTTTTTCTTCTGAGTTCCTTGAGTGACTGTCAGCCCCCTGCAGGCCTCACTGGATACTGCATTCCCAACATGGTCCTTGGGACCCCAGTGCACGTCCGGCAGTGATGCAGTAGATGCAATGTCTCATTCTTAGGACATGAGACTTTCTGTCAGCTTTTCTGATGTGTTCCCTGCTAGATGTCCTCCCCTCATTCCAGGTGCACACCAAATCTCTGCCCATAAAACACTTGGGTATGTTTCCCAACCTTTGGGAGTGTTCTTCACATGATCACTGCGGTCAAGGAAGGCAAACATCTAGTGATTTTCTAAAGCCATATCTGTGGATTGAACGTGTAGACAGTGACGTGTACCAGCAAGTGAGTGACGGTGCCTAGCGGAGCTAATGTTTGCTCAATCTGTTTGAGAGCAAGCTTCACAAGCTCACATGAGGCATGCATTGGAAATCTGTGCCCTTTTATATATATAAAGGGTATCATAAAGGTGTTTCTAAGAATGTGTGCATTTCTGAAAGTTTATACACTTAAAGGATGATATGAATTTGTGAAGGATTACATAATGAAATATTTTATTTAAGCTTGTTAATATTTGATAAGTGACACAGCCTCCCAAGGCTTATATAAAAAGTTGCATAATATAGCTGATTATGAAATCAACTATGCAACAAATTACATTCCAAGCCCCAGCCCCATGTCACTGACCACCCCGATCCCCTGTCAGTCAGTCTCCCCAAGTCAGGCTGGCTGCCCTTCCAGGGCCCCCCTCTACAGGCAGGAATCACTGCAGGGCAGCCTGAAATGCCTAGTGCCTCCCACCTTTGTTCCCTCTCTCTTCTGTCTCAGCTCCTTCGCACACCTGCACAGCTCTGAGGAGGTGACAGCCTCCTTTGCTTGCCATCACTGCTTATCGGGTAGTGTGTGTTCTCCAGTGTGGAACTTAACACCCACACCATGTGGCCTTTACTGCAGGGCCTTTTCAAACCCCCCTGCTCCCTCCTCTTGCTCCAATTCTTTGTCCCCTTCTTCTTCCTTTCTGCTGTATACTGTACCCAGCTGTGTAGGGATTCCTGTCTTGCCTTCCTGTCTGTGTGAAGCTCCTTTAACTCTGAATCGGCTTTCTTTGTCCTCCTCCTCCTCCCACTATCTTTCACACATGCCCTCCCGACGCTGGTGATCATGCTGCCTTCTGTTTTTTTTTTTTTTGGTTTTTCTCCGGTACCGGGAACCGAAC